CCAGACCATTCCATGATTCTGTGGGGCCAAAAGAGCCACTGGGCTCCTGGCTTATCAGCAGAACTCAGTGTTGTCCCCTGAGACCCACGGCCCCAGCATGGGACATGAGCTTCTTCCCCCTGGGCAGGTAACGAGGTGTCCCTGCGAGAGCTGCTGTGTGATTTTATTTTTTCTCCTGCCTATTTCTGTGCATTTTACAGGGTGAAGAGGAGGAAGATGGCTGACAAGGTCCTGCCGCAGAGGGTGAGCACTGCCTGGGTGCGCGGGGACGGAGCTGAGCTGCTGGGGGGAGGTGGTGTGTCCGTGGTGCCTTCCCAAGGCAGCCAGGGTGATGAGGTCTCTGCAGGGAGGAGGATCTCATTGGGTCACATCCTGCCTGCCAGTCACTTCTGATGGGTCCCAACCCAACCTGGAAGACGCGTGTCTCATCCTCTGGGGTGGCAGGAGAGATGTAGGGTGTGCACAAATGGGACAAGCAGGACTTTGAGCAAGCAAAGAGCAGCAGTGGAGATCCCAGGAGGACCCTAAGCCTCTCCTGAGGGTCCCTCTTGACAATCCAGGGTTCCATGACCTTCCTGTGACACTGGGTGGGCTACCGGGCACAGTGACAGGCTCCAAACAGGTCTGCAGTGCAGCTCTGATGAGGGGAAGAGCTTTGGAGGGCAGTACTCCCTGTTTGAAATGAGAAATTGGTGGTGTTGTGCCAGACTTGTCACTTAATGACTCCTTGGTGTGTCAGCCCAGCACCAGTATTGTCACTGGTGCTGGTGTGGAGGGTGCAGCTCCATCCCAGCACACAAGGGACTGACCATTTCCATTTGACAGATCCGGGAACTGGTCCCAGAATCCCAGGCCTACATGGATCTTCTCGCCTTTGAACGCAAGCTGGACCAAACCATCGCTCGGAAGAGGATGGAGATTCAGGAGGCCATTAAGAAACCACTGACGGTGTGTGGCAGCCCTGGCTGGCTGGGGGTCGAGCAGCTAGGTGGGGTGGGGGGTTATGAGGTGGGTGCTGCTGTGGGTGCTGCTCAGGGTGCTGCCAAACCACCCTCTCACTCTAAGCATCCTCCTCTCTGTTTTCCTTTTCCACAGCAAAAACGAAAGCTGAGGATTTACATCTCCAACACTTTCACCCCAGCCAAAGAAGAAGGGGAGGGTGGTGAGCGTGTGGCCTCCTGGGAGCTACGTGTGGAGGGCAAACTGCTGGAGGACGTAAGGATACGGGCTGGGCTGAACTGGTTTTGGTGGATACATCCCTCTTGCTCGCTGGGTGCTGGAGGTGGCATTGTGGCTGGTGGTGTCATGCCAAGTATCTCCTGCTGTATTGCACGGCATGTTGTGGTAGGACAAGGGGAGATGGTTTTAAACTAAAAGAGAGGAGATTTAGACTGGATAGAAGGGAGAAATTTTTCACAATGAGGTGGTGAAGCACAGGCCCAGGTTGCTCAGAGAGGTGGTAGAAGCCCCATCCCTGGAAACATTCCAGGTCAGGTTGGACGGGGCTCTGAGCAACCTGGTCTGGTTGAAGATGTCCCTGTCACTGCAGGGGGTTGGACTAGATGACCTTGAAAGGTCCCTTCCAACCCAAACCAGTCTGTGATTCTGTGATTCTGTTTTGCAGCCAAGTAAGCAGAAGAGGAAGTTTTCCTCCTTTTTCAAGAGCCTCGTCATCGAGCTGGACAAAGAGCTGTATGGGCCAGACAACCATCTGGTGGAGGTGAGAACGGAGGCTCCTGGCCACACTGCAGGGCTGGCTCTGCACCCCAGGGTGGGGAGAGGCTGTTATCCCAGCGGGTGACGGGGAGATGGTCCTGCCACATACCCTGTGGGCGCTCAGCTCCCCAGCCCAGCGCCTGCCCCACTGCAAGAGGGGGATGAACAAGGTGCTTTTGGGTGCTGGGGAGTGGTGCTGAGCCCTCCTCCGGTGACCATGCTGCCAGGCTTGCCAGGCTCAAGTTTACAGCTGCATTTTCCTCTCTGGTGCTGGCTGGGGGGAGGTGTGAGGGCTCTGGCAGCGAGTGCTGCCTGCTGGGCTCTTAAGCCCCCTGTGCCCGTGAGTGCACGGCTGGAGCAGAGAGGTGTGGGGCTCAGCGAGGATGTGGGTCTGAGGCAGCTCAGGCAGCCCCCTGGGTCCCACAGATTTGCAAAAATAAGGCCCCACATGGGTGGTGATGCTGCAGAAAGGCTCATCTGTACGTGGGAAGAAGGGTCTGCCCTGTGGCCTCCCAGCCTGCTGCCTGGCTGGAAGGTCCTCAGGGAGATTCAGCGCTGCCTGGGAGTGGGATCAGAGCTTTTTTTGGGGTGCTCCCACCTGGAGCAGGATTTCCCTGCACCCAACTCACACCATTTCCCTCAAACACTTGTTCCTGTGGTGATGGAGGTGATTCCCCTTCATGTGTGGAGTGGTTTGAGTGCAGTTCTTAGGCCCAGCCCCTGCAGTGGCTCAGGCAGGATGGATCCCAGGAGCTGTTGGAGCCCTTGACATGGAGAGTTCAGGACTGTGACTCCCCCAGCCCATCCAAACTCCCATCCAGCTCTGGGCTGGAGCACATCAGGCTCTGTCTGTTGGACCAGGTGGGCTCTCAGCTGAAACCCACTGGGGTCAAACTCCCAGGGATTGCCCAGGGTGGGATCCAGGCTGTGTCTGCCTGTGCTCCATCCCTGCGCAGAGCCCAAGCACTGGTTCTCTCTGTTCCTGGCTGCAGATCCCAAAGCCTGTTGGTGGGTGGCTTGTCATGGTCCTGGATCTGATCAATGTCTATCAATATCTGAAATGTGGGTGCCAAATGGATGGGGCCGGGCTCTTGTCGGTGGTGCCCAGTGACAGGACAAGGGGCAATGGGCACAAACTGGAACACTGGAAGTTCATCACAAACTTAAGGAAAAACTTCTTCACTGTGAGGGTGTCAGAGCCCTGGGACAGGCTGCCCAGAGAGGGTGTGGAGTCTCCATCTCTGGAGATGTTCCAAACCCACCTGGACACTTTCCTGTGCAACCTGGTGTGGGGAACCTGCTTTGCCAGGGCGGTTGGGCTGGATGATCTCCTGAGCTCCCTTCCAACCCCACCACTCTGTGATTCTATGATGAGTTGACCAGTGTCCCCTCTGCTCTCTTACAGTGGCACCGGCTGCCCACAACCCAGGAGACTGACGGCTTCCAAGTGAAGCGTCCCGGTGACGTCAATGTGAAATGCACTCTGCTGCTCATGCTGGATCACCAGGTAGGGATCTGTGGGGTGCATGGGGCTGTCTGAGGGGGGGAAAATGGGTCTGGGCTGGGGCAGGGCCTTGTATGAGGCTGTTGAGAGGCTGTGGGGATGGAAAGGAGCGTGGAGAGCTCCAGGCATTGATCCCCCAGCCTGTGGTACCACAGATGTGTGACTCAGGGGCTGTGTGGGGCAGCGTGCTTACAGCTCCCCTTCATCCCGTGTGTCCCGGCAGCCACCACAGTACAAACTGGACCCTCGCCTGGCTCGCCTGCTGGGGGTGCACACCCAGACCCGTGCCAGCATCATGCAGGCGCTCTGGCTCTACATCAAGCACAACAAGCTGCAGGACAGTCACGAGAAGGAGTACATCAACTGCAACCGCTACTTCCGCCAGGTCAGCCCTCGCCCCGCTGCACCAGCACGGTTTGCTGGGAGCAGAGCACGTTTCCCACCCCCAGTAAAGCCAGGAAAAGCATCTTTTCTGGCTCAAAACAGGCACTCTAGGATGGCCCAGTCCTGATTTAGCACAGAATGACAGAATGGCCTGGATTGGAAAAGCCCTTTAAGCTCATCCGAGTCCAACCATGAACCCAACACTGACCAGTCCCCTGTGACTAACCCATGTCCCTCAGCACTATGTCTACACGACTCTTCAGTCCCTCCAGGGATGGGGACTCCACCACTGCCCTGGGCAACCCCTTCCAATGCCTCAGAACCCTTTCAGCAAAGAAATTCTTCCTAAAGTAAAGAGGGAAATTCTTCCTTTATGCCCCTTCCCCAGGCTCTGCCTTGCATCCATCAGCTTGGCATGCACAAACCAGGGCTGGGCAAGTGCCCTTCTCTTGCCTGTCCCTTCCCAGGGTGGGCGGAAGGAGCCACGGGCAGTTAATGCTCTGCTGTCTCTCTCCAGATCTTTAACTGCATCCGCATGCGCTTCTCGGAGATCCCAATGAAGCTGGCGGGGCTCCTGCAGCACCCAGATCCCATCATCATCACCCACACCATCAGGTAGGGGTGGAGGGCGTGCTGGGCAGCATTCCTGGGTGTGGTGGGCTCCGTGGGGTGCAGGAGGTACCTGTGAGGTCTCCAGCCCAAAGCAGCAGTGAGCACCAGTCACTTGAGAGGGGAAGAATCGGCCAAATAAATTTAGGGGCATCTTGGGGCAGTCGGGGGGGGTAGTTGTGTTGCTGTTGGGGTGTTGATCCACCCCCCTACATCAGGGTGGAGGCTGAGGAAGTCACCCCCTGCCCCTAACAACCTGTTTCCTCCCAGCGTGGACCCCAATGACCAGAAGAAGACAGCCTGCTATGACATCGATGTGGAGGTGGATGACTCAGATGAGCAACTTCCTGGCTTCCACCACCAACCAGCAGGAGATCGCTTCCCTGGATGCCAAGGTGAGGGGGGCAGCCCTGCCCAGCAGCAGGGGCTCAGCCAGGGTGGCAGCAGGGTGGCACTCCTGGGCCTTTCCTGGACGGAGAATGGCTGGAGAGCAGCCC